ATACTAATTTTCAAAATTGGGGTTATGTAAACGATTAATGTATAACATTTCATTTTTTTCTTTTGCTTTAATTTTGTTAATTTGTGTTTGCTACAAAACACTTTGTGGCAACATGTGGGGCGTGTAGCCTGGAACTCTGATGGAGAAAGGCCTTTGGATGCAATCGAGCAATAGGGAAAGGAAAAAAAGAACGAGTTGTTTTAATGAACCCCGAGGCCAACTTTATGACTAAGTAAAGTTTCAAGGCATTTACAATAGTTTTGATAACCATTTACATTTATCAGATGGTTCATTTTGGAGGTAAAAATTACTTTATAACTTTACTTAATTTTTGGATGTTTTACTTCGACCTGTTCTTTAGGCAATTAGAGACTTAGACCTATATTTATATGTGGTCTTGATTAGGAAAAATCCAGCAGCTAAGAGACATATAAGTAGGTATGTGTGTACTAGGCAATGAAGCAAGTGGGAGGACACTCCCTATAAGCGTCGAACCTTCATACAGAAGTAGCCTTAACTATGGTCTCTAATCCCTGGCTGGCCCGGTAATATAACTTTTGGGAGAGGAACATCCAAACAGAGAGCAATTTAGTAAAAGGGAACAATGTTAAGGCAGATGTTGAGCAGGGTCCAACATCTATATGCAGCAGTAATATTACATTTTTTTCCTGAAATTTTAAACAATACCATAATGTGCATTGACGGGATTAATTTAGACTTCATTAGTTATGTTATTAATTTTCTATATCGACTATTTAAAGCAAATAAGAGGCTACTTGGAGGAAGAATCAACTGATATTTTTCATCTGCAATGTCTATCTCTTGAACATAAGCCCAGGTCTTCCATTTAGAAGCTCTTTTTCAATATATGAACTCACATTAATCATCCATCCTATACCTCTAAACCAAAATTTATACCAACAAATTGTATCACTTAAATACATATAATGATTTAGTGACACAACTAGCCAAGCCTATAAAAACTTCTCTTTCCAACTTCTCTGTAATTATCAACCTTCATTTATTGTTCCCTTTAAGTAGTCCAAGGAATGAATTCTTGTTTGATTTTTTGTGCACATTTGGGGGATCAACCTCATAATTCAAAGAATTCACTTAATCACACTCTAGATCCACTCAGAGAGGCGTAGATGTTATAGAATCCATAAGACATTACACAAATAAAGTTGCGAATCACCCGCAAAAAAAAAAAAAAGGGAAATCCTAGATAGCACTCGACTAGACGATAGTGTCACAAGCCACCAAATTCGTGCCTCTCCAACGTTTTATAGTTACGTCCATTTGATGTCCTCACTGGTGCCATGAGTGATTTCTGTCATTTGCATGTATACAGTGCCCATTATTCTCCTTTTCTCTCTTCAAACAGTCGCTTGCTGTTTTTTCTTTTGATTTTGGGTTTCTGCAAAAACTCTTTTTTTGTGGGCGTTCGGTATTTGGTTGCAGGATAGAATGGAGTGAGATTATAGTGTTCTCCTTCTATCGATGCAAGTCATATGGGGGGTTTCAAATGGGAAGGACCTATATTCATCTAAAAACTCCAACGTGCTCTATTCGACATTATTGCTTAGCGCTGAGTTCGGTGTAATAAAGGGTATTCATTCATTCACTATCATATTGGTAGATGCACATTATTGCAAAAATGGCGCTTGCTTTATGCTGAGATTTTTGGTCAGTTTTTCCAGCATGTACTAAAATAGATAGAAGACACTAATTTGAACTAGGTCTTTATAATTCAAGGTAAAATCATCTTTGATTGAATAAGGAATCTTTTTTTCCGAAACGAGACACTTTAAAATAAAAAAATATTGTAAAGTTTTACGACAAGGTTTTGATCATATTTTCCTATAATTTAATAGTCTTCACTTTTCAACTATTAGAAGCAAAATATTTATGAAATGAAAGAAAATGTTAACAATTGTATATTATGAGATGATAATTTGTTAAAATTCAAATAAATCAAACACATGCAAGGTTAAATGATAATAAGTATTTATTTATTTAATAAATATTTTAAGTTAATATGTTAGAAGTTTGTTTGTTTTTTTCTTTTAGTTGTTTGGTTTGGTTATTATTTGCTTTATTAATAACAACATCATCATACCATTTAATGTGGTGTATATATTATATAATTACATTGACTATATTAAAGTGATGTTATACTTCTTAGAATTTGTTAATTTGAAAATTAGTTATTATAATTTATTAGTAATTATTATTTTTGCTTGGTTAAGATTGTGCATCAATATATTTTTTTAAATTTTATAATATTTATTAAAATAGACATAAATATTCATTTATTTTTTTTAATTTTTAAAGTCCGTAGGGAAATCGTGGTAGGATCATGTTGCCAATTACGCGTTCGTTAGAACTTTCGGATGAACTCGTCGGTTGTCGAAGCCGGTGTCCGGATACTAGCAACTCTAGATCTGGTGAGGACATTCCAGACCGGTGCCCGACCGTGATATCAAACGCGTAGAAGAAATTCTCCAGTTCGGCTTTTTTCCGGTTCCAGATAATCATCATTTGGACGTGCCGGATATTCTCTAAGGCCGAGTTTCCGAAAACGCGCAGCTCGGAATCGGGACTGGAGGCGTTTCACCCCCGCGGATTTAGAATCATTCTCGGTTCGTAACACGGCAGTTCTAGCCGCTTATAAACTGGCGGTTGGTAGACTCCGAGTTTTTGGTTTTTTTTTTTTAATTTTGTGGTTAACATCATCTTAATTTACTCGGGCTCCCAACAGGGCCTAAACTTGGGCTTATATTTAACTTGGCTGATTTTCCAAGGGTTTAATTTTTTTGAAACAACTTTTGAATTTTTTGTGATTTATTATTTAAATTATCTTCTCATTTTATTACATAATGTCATTACATGTCAATTAATCTATTTACTCTCCTTTACTTCACTCTTGGGTACAATATTGATTTACATCTCTTCTATCTTAGCTCTCACTCACAATTATTTTACTTACAGCTTCTACTTCTAGTTTATTTTGATTCCATTTTGATTCTTCTCTTACTCGTATACGATCTGTGCGGTTCTTATTTAAGATCATTTGATTCCTCTTTCTAATTTATTTTGTTTTTTTATTCAATTTTCTTTTTCAAATTGAATATTCTTATCCTTTTCATAATAATGCGCAAAGCTTCCGCCTTTTTTTTTCAAAAAAAAATTATGTTTAATATTCTTTCTTTTTTATCAAAAAATTTAGAGCTTCTGAGTTTGAAATTTTTTTTTGAATAAAAGATACTTTTATGGTTTAATGTCTTTTAAACAAATATAAAATTTTCACATTGATATGGTATTTTTTAATTTTTTTACTTAGGGGTGTTTATTCAGGCTTTTTTACATTTTGTTAATGTCCATAATTAGTTTTTTTCTATTAAGCCGGATTTGTATTTCCAGAAATTTCTAAAGAAATTTAAGAGAGATTAGTTGGTCGATTCGCCGGAAAACCGATCGTTTCTTATATACCGTCGTATGTTGGTGATAACCGGTTGGAACTCCGGCAGGCTTACCAAACGCACCTGGATCGCGGAGCCGCGGACTCTTTTGTCTTTGGTGTTCGGTGTCCGGTGCATCGTGCAGAACATGGTCGCTGTGATACCGCGAACCCGCTGGCCATGGCTAAATCATGCCGTAATAAACGTGTGACCCAACATATTTGTTTTTGAGCTATTTTGAGTCTAATTTTTAGGCTTAATTTATTTGTAATGCACAATTGAAATTAAGTTCACTTGGAAAAAATCATGTTTTTTCTATAAAATCTTAAAATTCTTAGGCCGTTGACATATCGTAGTTCCAAGCGCACGACTCGCATTAACGTATATCCAGCTAGGATTTCTCCTGTAGCGGTTTTTGGGTGGGCTAGAAACATTGTTGGTACGCCTCGATAGATCTTAAAGTTTATCTACTATGCTTGGGGCTCCAGAGCTGTCTAGCAATCCCTCGACACTAAATAATAGAAAAACAAACTCGCAGCTATATCAAGGCGGTCAACTTTGACACACTACTGCTTACCCAGTTGCTGTGTAGTCCTTCTCTTTTTACGCATAATGAATACCTTAGGAGAGAGCCACATGAATTTCTGGGCTAACAAGTTCACGAGGAGTAAAGCCTAGCTCTCCTTTTTCTTGCACTATAGTACAGGACAAGAAGCCAATACTTTTACTAATTGCAAGAAGCACACATCAAGAGAAAACTCTAGACAAAGCATGGTAAAATGTCACTGGCCATAATCAACTTATTGGTGGGGGCGAACGAGCGAGATTCGGTGCTCAGTCGTCCACGAGGCAGGCCGAACCCATTCGCACAACTCTCCTCATTAATGACATTTCATGGTGAGTCTCGGGAATTCCATCGTTCAAATGTTAGCTTGTCTCCACCAAATTGGGCAGAGCACCATACACTTACATCTAAATTTGCCATGTTGAGGTCTAGTTTCCTCTCTCTCTCCAATGCATAATTTGTAAATAAAACTTATGTCTCCTCTTGCTTTTTCCACTTTTTTTAGGGTTAAATCATAGTTTTATCACTTATTACTAGTACCAATTTGCTATTAACCCTTCGATTAACAATCTTAGTTTCCAATGCCGCCAAAGACACTTAGCCTGGGCTTTTTGCTCCAACATACCATAATTTTTTTGGTTAAAATGTGCTGTTTTAAATGAGATCTGAGCAATTAAACCAAGTAAAACATCATCTGAGCGGCTGTAATAGTAAAATTATGCGATTCGCCGGAAAACCGATCGGAACCGTCGGTTTTGTAACCGGAACCGGACGGTTCCAAACCGGAACCGGAACCGGACCGCGGACCTTTTCGGTTCGGTTCCGGTTCCAGAAAATCTGGAACCGGAACCGTGGCCATGGCTAAATCATGGTATAAAACGGTGAACCAACATATTGTTTTGATATTTGATAAATTTTACTTAATTATTGTTAATTACAAATTAAAAGTCAAAAAATCATGTTTAAAAATCAAAATTCTGGTTGAATCGAGTTCCAACCACGACCCATAACGATATCAGCTGGATATCTGGTTGGGTTTAGAAAACATTGTTGGTACCCGATAGATAATTACTATGCTGGCAGTCCAGTGCAGCAACCTCGACATAAAAAAAGAAAAAAAAAATCGCTATAAAGGCGGCAACTTGAAAATATGACCGTTGGGAGTCTCTTTTAAGATTGAATACTGGAGAGAGCCAATGATTTCGGAAAGTCAAGGAGAAAGACTCCCTTTCTCTGCACTATTAAGGAAAGAAGCCAACTTACTAATGAAGAAGAACACAAGAGAACGTAGCAAAATGGAAAATCACGAAACACATGGGGCGGAGGAGATGGTGGCGTCGGAGGAGGAATCGCACCCTTATGCATTTCATGTGTCTGGGCCTCGAAATGTAGCTTCTCCCAATTGGAGAGACCTTATCAATTCCAGTTGGTTAGTTTCTCTCTTCATATATGTAAATACTAGATCTCTGCTTTCCCTTTTAGGGTTATAAGTTTATCACTTATTAACTTACCAATTTGCTATTAATTGATAACTTTTTAAGGAAAGACTAGTGGGTTTTTGCCTTTTTGGTAAATGGGTTTATGAGATCTGAGCAATTAAAGTAAAATCTGCGTGTTTGTTCAACTAATTTTTTTCTGTACTAGTTATATTTGAAAATAGCAACACAATTCATTAAGTAGAGAAATAATTGGATTTTGATTTTGCTTGATTGAATATTGCAATTGTCAGTATTATCTATTATTGTTTTGTTCTTAATTATGGTCTGAAACATATAATCCGAAGCTATAGATCTGGGTATATCAATGGCCAACACCAAGTCTCCTATGAATAACTATTAGGTCTTTCTGGTTGTGTTGTTGTTATGTTAATTAGTAGCTGTTGATTCTTTTTGGGAAGTAATTCCTCTGTAAATCCACAATTATCTGATTTATTCAATCTTGCAGGAAGGATGAGAACTACAAGAGAACAGTAATTGCCTGCTTCATTCAAGCAGTCTACTTGCTGGAGCTTGACAGACAAGAAAATAGAACACAAGAGAATGGGCTTGCTTCAAAGTGGTGGATACAATTCAAGTACAAGGTAACCCAAGTATTAACTGATGAAAGAGATGGGTCTATTTTCGGTGCAGTATTAGAATGGGACCGATCTGCAGCATTGGCTGATATGATACTTATTAGGCCTAGCGGTGCACCTAAAGCTGTTTTAGCACTCCGAGGAACACTTCTCAAAAGTCCAACAATCCGAAGGGACATTGAAGACGATCTCCGTTTTCTAGCATGGGAAAGCTTGAAGGGTTCTGTCAGATTCAAAGTAGCACTTGACTCGATAAAATCAGTTGCAGAAAGCTATGGAAGCAGCAATGTCTGCATTGCAGGTCATTCCTTGGGAGCTGGCTTTGCTCTCCAAGTTGGAAAAGCATTAGCTAAAGAAGGGATATATGTGGAGACTCATTTATTTAATCCTCCCTCAATTTCTATAGCTATGAGCTTAAGGAATATTGGGGAAAAAGCTTGGAACATGATTAAATCTATGGTTCCTTTAAAGACCAGTGGATCACAGGCCACTAATGACGTTGATGATGACAAAACTTCTGCTGTTGGCTTGAGGAATTGGGTGCCATATTTCAGGGATAAAACCTCAATAGGATTGAAAAAATGGGTACCCCATTTATATGTGAATAATAGTGACTATATCTGTTGCCATTACACTGAAGCAGATAGAATTGTAGATGAAGAAGCTAATGAGGAGAACGTGAATTGTACAAATACATCAAATGGAAAGGTTGCAGCGAAGCTGTTTGTAATGTCTAAGGGAAAGCAGAAATTTCTTGAGGCTCATGGGTTAGAGCAGTGGTGGTCTGATGATCTGCAACTTCAAATAGCTCTCAATAGCAGCAAGCTTATAAGCAGGCAGCTGAAATCCTTGCATAGCCTTCCATCATGACAAATGACAATTAATTGCTTGCTTCCTTTGTTCATACCCAATATTCATTTTGGTAAGTTGTATCTGAAAAAGAAAAATCATTGTTTGTAAGGATAAAAGTTTTTGCTATCTGATGTCAGTCTATCAGTCTTCTTTCTTATTCCTATTTGTTTTTAAATTGTTTTAATTAATAAAACAAAAGTTGGACATATTTACAGTTAGAAAGGGAATTTTTGTTAATTAAGGGGGACACATGGTTGAAGGATGTAGGGGAAGGGACAGATTGCAGGTCTTAAGTTCGATTGTCTGAAACATGGCATTGGGATCAAAACCTCGTCAAAATCTAAGTAAATAACCTTTGTTACCACCATGGCGGATCTAGAAATATTTTTATCTGGGTTAATATATAATTTCTAAAAAAAAAAAGGTTAAAAACATAAATAAATTGAAATTTATAGATATCCAAACAAATATACTTATATTTATTTTAAATTTTTTTTTAAAAAGGAGGGGTCTATTGATTTCTCTTTTTATACGGTGGACCCGCATTGGACCAATGAACATAATTATTAATTATTGCCATGGAATTGAACTCATGACCTTCATTATATAATTAGGACAATCTAAGCCACTTCTGAAATTTATTTTATGAAAGATACTATATATATATTTTTTAAAGTGTGTTACACGTTGTTTATACTTGTTAAATACATTCTTTGCTTAAATTTTTATATATAATTTTTTATTAAAATTAATTAATTATTAATATTTTTAATTAATTAAATATATTAAATTGTCATTTTTAATACTAAGATTTCTAATTGAATTTAAATATTCTTAATTGAGTTTCACATTTTCTTTACAAAAATGTTAGGATTTGTAAATGAATTCAAATGTTAGTCTTATATTATTACGATGATAAATTATTAAATATGTTCTTTTTTCTTAATTGAACTAAGGTATTTTATTTTTTTAATATTAAATTTTTTCAAACAGCTTGAATCCTAACTGAATTCAAATATTTTCTAATTTAAATATTTTTTACTTTTTAAATATTAATGTTTCTAACTGAGTTCATAAAATCAGAAACAAAGTTTTTATTGTCAAGTCGTTTAATAGTGCCAAAAAAGCATGTTGCTTGGAAAATTCGTAACTAATATAATCACTGCTAGAATTCAAAGCTCAACATATGTTTCTTCCACGAAACTTTTCAAAATTACAAAATAAAAAAAATTATAGATAAATAAACAAACAAAAAGTTCACAAAATAAAATTTATATTAATTCTTCTATTAAAAATAAAAGTTAGTAACCTAGATTTTAATTTGTAGTAGGAATTGTTTTTATAGGAGTTTGTAAATCCTTATACAATAAGTATAAAAATCCTTAAATAATAATAATAATAATAATAATAATAATAATAATAGTTTACTCGTAAATCCTTATAGAATAAGTATAAAGATCTATTAAATAATAATAATATATATATAGTTGAGAAAATAATAATAAATAGGTATTCTAGACTTATATATGACATATATTATAAAAAAAAAATACTTATATATTGAAATGACTATTATAATAATTATAAATAACTGTTCTATAATTTTAATATTTAGTATTATGATAAAATTTACACATAACAACTAGTAATAATATTAAATTTAAATATGAATAATAACTAATATCATCATTATATATAATATAACAGGTCATAATTCTTGTGAATTTCTTATTTAAACTTGGTGTATGAGATAAGACAATCAAAAAAATTTTTAAAATAAAAGTTACTGTTTTATCTTTTTTTTTCCAAGATGATAAGAAAAAATATTTTTATTTAAATAAAAATAGTATTTATAATTAATTTAATATATATGTGATTCTATACACCGGGTGTGAATAAATCTTTCACACCAATAATTGTAATTTTAGTATGAATTTTATATTTTTTTCTATTTTGGCGTATCAATAGAAAAAATTTATAATTCGATGAATAAACTATTAATTTTTTGATAATTTACTAAATTTTACACAAATATATAGCCGAAAATCTCGGTGGGACAATATGGGTCCACGTATCCATTTGGGTTTTGATTAGTAGGCGCCAAATAGGACCGGCGTTGATTGCCACGTGGATTTTACTAACAAAAGACGCGAAATTACTAACTAAAACTTATCTAATACTCAACGCCTCACACTCCGAATCAGTAACCCAATCGATTCAGACTCCCAAAAACAAATTCAAATGAAATGCCCTTCACCCATCTCCTACAATCGCTGCAGCACCGAAGACCTAACCTTCGCCACTCTCCGCCGTCCAATTAACGTGGGTACCTAATAAACCCTGACCTCCAATGAGACATTTGGAATCACCTCTTCTCCTCTCGTCTCCATATTACTCCCTCAAATTCCTCTCTCCTTTTAACGGAACCTCTGTGTTCTCATCCTTCAATTCAAAGCACTACAGATGAGACTGTTTTTGACGATTTTGGTTTCAAATCTTTGTATATAGCTGATTCGCCTAAGCTCGTTCATCTTTACGAGGCGAGTAGGAGGCCATACAGGTTGGTGTCTAAGACTCAATGCAGTCTAGTGGTGGATGATGTGAAAAAGAAACTTTGTTTTGTTTTTATTGACATTGTTTGAGATTTGCAGATTTCCAGGCAATGAATTTCAACATAATACTGGTTTTTTTCTGGTTGGCTGGTTAAGGGGCACTTGCTTTTTTTTGGCTTTTAGAGAAAAGAGATTTGTTTTTTACTGATTATTCTAGTGAATTAATAATTCTTTTGCGCTCATTTTGTCTTTAGTTCTATAGGAATTTGGTTAAATATTATTCTTGGCAGTTGAGTAGGTATTAGTAAACTAGTAGTTTCTGATAAACAGGTTTCATTTTGAGAGCTTTCTGTGAAAGGCGTTCGTTTGAATTTGTTTTTGGGTGTCGAATCGATTGGGTCTTTAGTTAGTAAAGTCCACATGGGAACGTCTTATTTGGCACCTACTAATCAAAATCCAAATGGATGCATAGGCCATGTTGTCTCAGCGGAATTTCCGATTTATACATATATGCAAAATTTATTAATTTATTCATTATATTATAAAGTTTTTCTGTTAATATACTAAAATAAAGAAAAAAACGAAAAAAATAAAACGAAAAGTTCATACACCAAAAAAATGGAATGGAGTGATCCCATTCATAATTAATTAAGTGGCGAGTTCGGTGACTCAACAACCGTTCCCAAAGCTAAAAGCTCTTCTCAAGTGCTTGTTGGGCACGCGGTAGGCGAAACAGGCAAAGGATTACCAAATAAAAACCGTATTTTAAGGTTAGGTAAGAAGCGGACAAAAAAAAAACATCTTTTTAAATAAATAATTAAGTATTAATTGGATACATAAGAAATTGAAGGTCTCTGGTTATAGAAAGTATTTTCCAAGAGTGAGAGAATACTACGTGGTAGTTCCGTTGCTCTAACTTCTCATCAACCTTCCTCTTTCTTTTTCTCAAAAAAGCGAAAACATAAATAAAAGATTACCAACTGAACTACTCCATAAAAATCAGCAAATACCCATACGGCACATACTTACTCTGATCTGGTAACTTGTGTTGTTTAACTCGTTCTTTCTGCTTTTCTTTCTACTTGATATTGATTACTCTTTCAGCTTCTTGGTTGCTGTTTTATTGCCTGGAAATTGCTTAAATGGCTCAACAAGTTGTAAATCCTGAGGAGCAGGTATTTGTGTCTCTGTTTTTCGAATTGTTTTCAGAATTCTTTCCAATGACATAATTTTACGTTAGTCGTTGGTTTGCAAATTTTATCAATTTTGGTGGCATTTGCCTAATCACAGCCAATTTTCGTAGAATTTAAATTTCAATTGAGTTTTTATTTATTCTCCAAAGCTCGTGAATCACAGCCATTTTACACCAAACAAGCAGTTAGTTACATGTTGGTACTCCGTTTTCTTTTTATCCTTCTTCTGTCAGGTTGTTCTTGGAGAAGAAATAAGCCATGTGAGGCTCATCACATTGAACCGTCCACGTCAACTGAATGTTATTTCATCCAAAGTGGTATGTTCTATGTTTGGACGAACCTCACGCATCTAATTATTAGATGTTTCTGAAGCCCAATATTTCTTTCAGGTTTCTCTGTTGGCGGATTTTCTTGAGAAATGGGAGAAAGATGAAAATGCTGAGCTTATTTTAATCAAGGCTAGTTTTATTTCTTCAAATCTCAAACTTTAATTTTGTAGTCTGAAATGGAAATATACATGAATCAAATCTTAATCAAATTAACGAGGTAAACGAATACTGATTCTTTCCTTATTGGTCCTAAGGACCCAGGAGGTAAAACAATTTTTTTTATTTTATATGTTATTGAAGTGTTAGAGAGCACTTTGATTTTTATTCAGTAGTTTCAAAATTATATTAATAGTTTATAGAGTACTTTGATTTTTAATCCTTACATGGATGATAGTCTTTTAAATTTCTTCTATTTAAAAAACATCCTGACAATATTTATTCTTAAATCTTTAAAAAATATGTAGTGCTTAGTTGAGTTTATTGTCAAGCTATTTTAAACTATAAAGCACTTTCATTTGGAGGTTAGAAGGGTTCGTTACTCAGCTATTCTAAACTAAGAAAAAGGATCCAAAGTTAATACGTTTTATTTGTTTTATGTAGATATATAGATATTGCTTTTTAAGTGATTTTGAGAATTTTTACTGAATCTTATGGTTCAGTTCTTGATTCTCAATTCAAAAAATTAGGATTGTAAGTGTTGATTTGACAACTATCCTTTTTTTTTATATTGTAGTTAAACCTAATGGGTTGCATGCCACAAAGGAAAAAGTGCAAAAGATTATTGAAAAAGATAATGATGATTTGGGTTCATCGTAGGAAAAGTTGCATGCCATTCATTAATTTTCTTAATGATTCAGTCCAATTATTTTTTTTATTTTTTATTTTTGTTTAAAAGAAACAATAGAGGTTATTAAAAAAAAAAAAAAAAAAATATTTTTTATTTTTGTTTAAAAGCACAATAGAGGAGGTTATTAAAAAAAAAAAAAAAAAAGATAATGATGGTTTGGTGTTCACCATGGATGGTCTTAACTATTGGAGGCAACTTACAGCTGCTTTTGGTGCAGCCCTCTGGAGACTCTTTCCCTATGTTCTAATAGATTGTTCCGATGTTGAAAATTTATAATGATCTTACATCTTGTTCAGGGTGCTGGAAGATCATTTTCTGCTGGTGGGGATCTAAAAATGTTTTATGATGGCAGGACATCAAGTAATTACTCTGTTTGGAAATAAACTATTAGTTTTTATTTCCCTGTGATGTCTACATCAAGGATTTCTTTTTTTTTTTTTTTTTTTGATTTTTTTTTTTGACATTTGAAATAATCAAGGATTGTTTCTTTACCATATGCACTTTTTTTTTTTTTTTTTTTGACATTTGAATTAATCAAGGATTGTTTCTTTACAATATGCACATACTGCACATAGATCATGCGCTAGAAGAGATTATTTATTTTCTTATATGTATGAGATGATATATTCCCTATATGTACCAAGATTTATCACTGATTTTCTTTTGGCAGATGATTCTTGCCTTGAAGTGGTCTATAGAATGTACTGGCTTTGTTATCACATCCACACGTATAAGAAAACCCAGGTACTATTTTCAAACTCATGTAAATGGCCTTTCAACAGAAAACCAAAGAAAGTTTACATGAAATAGACACCCTTTGTGTAGCAAGGATTCTCATGAATCAAGGGCACCCTTTTTCACTCACGTCAGATACCGTGATTCCTATGCCAAGTATACTATATTTTTTTTTTTCCAATCATCATTGAGATGGCCACATAGTTATGATTTGAAATATGATTGATAGGTTGCTCTTGTCCATGGAATCTCAATGGGAGGTGGTGCATCTTTGATGGTCCCAATGAAGTTTTCAGTTGTCACAGAGAAAACTGTGGGTATTAGGTCCTTGTTTGTTTCGATATTTCTGATAAAAATGAAGTTTGTAAAGGTTTGGATTTGCATTCTAATTGGAATACCAATCTTTCTGGTGTCTGTTATGAATCCACAGATTTTTGCAACTCCAGAAGCAAGTATTGGATTCCACACTGATTGTAGTTTTTCATACATCCTTTCCCGCCTCCCTGAACATTTAGGTGAGCGTGCACCTAGTTAAAGAAGATTGGCATTCTTTAGATATGCCCCAGACATACACACTCTATTTTCTTGTCATTTGAAATGCTCTATATATATTGCCTTCAGAAAATTATTCAAATTTTGTTAATTAGAAAGAGGTAAATTGGTAATAAGAACAACATTGCTTTTCCATCATTGATATAATATGCAATTGTATGCAGGGGAATTCCTAGCTTTAACTGGAGCAAGGCTGAATGGCAAAGAGTTAGTCGCCACCAGACTTGCAACCCACTTCGTCCCTTCTGAGGTGAGTTAAATTTTGATTCATGATTTTCCTCCCTCTCAACTACCCTGCCTTGGAAATGAGGTTATATGAATGACCTTGATGTTAATCGAAGTAATATAAAAGCCTATATAGGCTGTACATAATCAACTTACAATAATAGAACTCTATCTAAGATAAAATTATAATATAGTGAAGTATTCCCAAAACATAGCTGTCATCCCCTTGATTGAAGTAGGAAATGTCATCATGCAAAGGTTGCCTCTGATACTTTGAAATTGAATTTGCCAATTGATTCTTAGTAGAAATATATTGAATAACCAACTTCTTGGCAGCCATCTTGAGGGGCTGTGTATGATTCACACATTTGAAAAACATAAAATATAATAATGGTCTGTAAGTGAGTGTTGAACCTATCACAAGCCATTTGGTTTTCTGCAAGATGAGTTCCAACACTTGTCCACTTTTAAGCTTACTCTCAAGGGCCTGTAGCTCTAGTGATACAGATGCAGAAGGTGTAGGACATACAGGTAGGAACTGCTCAATGCCTATAGTTATAGCGTTAAAAACATATAAGATATAGGTTTTGTGCGCAAAAAAATTATTCTTTTGGAAAAATCCAATTTAGAAAGTCAAATGAATATCCACCAACTTTAAGGCCAAGAATCAAAATAAAAAGGGAATTAAAATTTATTACAATTACTTCTAAATTTAGTAGTTTTCTCAATGCCTTTAGGTGATTAGTGGTTTTGACGACGAATGTTATGGATCTTATAAACTTCATCCTTAGCCTATTTCTTACATTGATAGCGTCTTTTTCTTCTTCTGGTTTCGCCAGTACACAATTTGTTTATTGCAAATTTGCAACTGATCAAAAAGAAAGAGGCAAAAACAATAAAAGAATTATGTTTCTTACATTGATAGCGTCTTCTTCTTCATCTGGTTTAGCCAATACACAATTTGTTTATTGCAAATTTGCAACTAATCAAAAAGAAAGAGGCAAAAACAATAAAAGAATTATGGAAGTAATCCTGAAATTTCCGATTATCTACAAAGAATTTCTGTTATCTTAAGCTATATGTGACTGATGATGCAATCCTTAGTTGAAAATAAATTAATTATGAAACAGCATTAGTTAATGATTCAGAGGTTCAGCTTCTACGTGTTATGAAATAGCCCACTAAAGTTATTTGCGACAAAATCATTTTTGTTTCAGATTTTTTGTTTTATGATTGAATAGTTTCTTTTTAGGAGTTCAATATCTTATCACATCTGTTATCCATCTTTTATCAGTTTTGTTTTGTTATATTGCAGTTAACCTGATCATGTTTCTGTTATATGATTGGTATTGGAGAGTGATATTCTTAATTCAAATAAACTTTTGCAAATATATATGTATTTCTGAATATATGTATGGTGCTGTTTTCCATGAATCAGAAAATGCCTGAGCTAGAGAAACGTCTGATAAGCTTGAACTCTGGTGATGAGAGAGCTGTCAAATCTGCTATTGAAGAATTCTCCATAGAGGTTGCGCTTGATGAAGATAGTATTTTAAACAAGTAATTATATGAACAAGTCAATCATATGAAGCTGTTTATACATGGATTCTTAACATTAAGTCGAATACTTTTTAAATTTTTTAGGACCTGATAATGTTTATTGAACTTGTTAGGCTGTCAATTGTTAACGAGTGTTTTTCCAAGCCTACTGTGGTAGATATCATCGAATCATTTGTAAGTTTCAGTTTCTTTCCTTTCAAGAAGGTGCTTATTTCATAGGCCAGGAAATTCTTAATCCTGGTTCTATGATTGAATGTGAATTGTATCATACAGGAAACTGAGGCGAGTAAAGAAGGAAATGGATGGATAGGACCAATACTGAAAGGGCTGAAAAGATCTTCCCCTACAGGATTGAAAATCACGCTCAGATCGGTAATGACTTTATATCTGATTAGTAACAGATATTACGCTTTATGGCATTATTAGAACCAATGGATAGTAATGGCAACCCTGTGTTTTATATCTCTTGCAAGCATGCAAGGTCTTGACATCTAGTCTCATTTCAAGTGTGCAGTAGGCCAAGACTTCTAATGTGAGATGTTTTATTACACATTCAGCTTTCGAAGGCTCACCATAATCTTACAACAAAATTTTGAGACATGGAGTGCCTTTTTCTTAGAAATTTTAAAGTGATATATATTGTATTACATTTTATTTTGGCCAGGGCAAGCAAAAAATTATTTCTTATTTGCATCCAATTAGTCTGATTGATTTTTATACAATTGCTTTGGGGGAATTCGACTTTCCAGGGAAGCCAATAGCCGAACTTTTTCAAATAACGTTATGATATCATATATGACTTTATTTTTCACATTCTGACTTAAGATTAGAATTGCTAGTAGTTTGGTTTTTCTTGTTAGTATGTTGTTGGATTTCCCATACAAGTTGGCTCTATTCATCTCTGTTCCAGATTCGTGAAGGACGGAAACAAACCCTGGCTGAATGTCTTAGGAGAGAATTCAGACTAACAATGAACATACTCCGGACAACAATATCTGCAGATGTCTATGAGGTACTAATAACTAGAGATGTTTGTTTACCAACAAAACATGTCATGATAAATGATTGATTTTTACTTATTTCCTCTGCAATCGTAAAGGGTATTAGGGCTCTCACCATTGACAAGGATAATGCTCCTAAGGTACTCTCTGTCTTTCGTTCTTTCTGCGTGGCTGTTTTCTTTTTTCTCTTTTTCCTGTGTGCCCTGCTCTGCTGGAAGTTTTTTGTTCATTCTGTCTTCTAAATTATTTACTGTCTAGTGGGAGCCGCCTACTTGTAATGAAGTGGATGATCAAAAACTGGACCTGGTATTTCAGCCATTCAAAGAGGATTTGGAGCTCCAAATTCCAGAAAAAGAAGAGTGCAGGTCAGAGTGTTTTTGGAGCTTTAGTTACAACTCCCTTTTGCAAATCTTTTTATTGCTTACTGATTTAACGGTATCAGGGAAATCGACTTTAACTTGGTTTAATTTACAGGTGGGATGGCAAATATGAGAATTCAACTTATGCAATGTCGAAGGTGACAAAATAAATTAGCAAAATAATTTCTCAATTCTACGAGCATAATAGAGAAATAATAGAGAGGCTTGAGCATTTCACTTTAAGGATATCTATTTTGTATGTTGTGCTTCAAGTTTGTTTCTTGTAATAAAACTCCAACTTTTGAAAATACAACTTTGGTATAATATTTCATTTTGGTATGTCATTTTTTGGTGCTTTGACATTTGTACCCATAAAATATGGTAAAAAGTGCACAAGTAACCCCTCAACTTATAAGGTCTTGTCCATTATGCTCTTGAACTTTCATTTGTCGGAATTTAAACCCTTCAACTTTAATTTTGCTGAAAAACACTTATTTAACCGGAGAACTTAACCACCAACAAAAAAAAAAAAAAAAAAAAAAAAAACGGAAACGACACTTAAACCCCACAACAAAAACAACACAAAAAAAAAAAAAACCAGTAGTATTAGTTAAAAAAAAAAAAAAAAAAAAAAAAAAACAACCAATAAGGTATTAGTTGTAATGGTAACTGATTTTAGTCTCCGTAGAGGTAAGAACATTGACGGAGCTTGAAATTTTTTGTAGGGGTGAAAATATTTTTATCATTTTATTCGACGAACTTATCCATAAATGCAGTTTATTATATATACTATCGCATAAGTAACCTAAAGTTTCATAAACAAAATTTGTTAAAACTGTATCATAAAAATTATATGACATTTTACTTGACTTAACATCATTTTTTATTGTTGTATGTAAGTTTGCTCGGCGTTTTTTCATAGAGCTAAAGTCATCCATGATTAAATGAACATTAAACTTCATTGCAATTTCTTTTTTTGATGTAAACAGTCAAGCAATCATTTAAGAGATTATCTTTTCATTTTGTTCCAAAGTTTGGTTTTCACTGTCTTCATTATTGAAAATGCTCGTTCTATAGTTATTGATATAGGAAGAGTAAGAAAAAGCCTGATCAATCTGTCAATGAGAAGATAAATCAAATATTTTCTAGTTGTCATAAGCCCTTGACACAACTCTTGAAGACTATCTAATTTTTGCATTTTAATATGATTTGGAACATCAAGTTTAAAGTATTCAAGTTCTATCCTTAAATATATCAATTCTTGCTCTGTGAAATCATTAGGATAGAACTTCTGTGCAAGCTTCCCAATATCATCAATGTTAAAAGCCTTAAATCCATCTCTAGTTTCTAAAGCACAATTGAGAATAATTAACTCTATCGTGTGATCATTCAACCTGTTATTAAATTCTTGCAACTGATAATCAATTGCAGCAATGAACACATCAACTCGATAATAATATTCAATATTAATATGATCATGTTGGTTTTGAGGTCGACGACGCCTTGCAATATATCGAGCACTAAAATCTAGGATATCAACTTGATGTTTCTCACATAATATTTTTACTTTTTCAAAAAAAGGTTTTCCAACCTGAATTTCTCAAATTCTTGATTAATATTTTTGTACTTGAGACAAGATGCGTAACAGTCAAAATATCCTGAGATTGGCGTTGCAATGCTTGACAAAGAATTCGACTAATTTCCAAAAGTTCTTTCATGAGATGCAAAAGGAAGATAAAATCAAAAGATTATAGTTGTTTTAGAGCAAAATCTGCATCTCCTCATTGAGAATACAAAGCTCCTTCATTATCCTTTTTACTTAGAACTACACAAGTCGTATTGAACATCTTTAATAAACTAGAATGGACTCTAAATGTGAAACCCAATGAGTATCTTTTGCACGCTTCAAAGTGCCAATTTGATTAAGCCCCCTTCCTGATTCAATCTCATTATTACCAATTCCTTCAATTAGTTCTGCAGCTTGAGCCTCCATTAATTCATCATGTCTTCTACTAGATGCAGTAACAGTATTGATTATAAAAATTAAATTGGAGAGGAATTGAAGAACCGGAGCAACATCTCGAAATGCTGAAATCAAAGCAAGTTGTAGTCGATGGGCTAAGCAATGAATATAGTAAGTATAAGGGGATTCCTTACAAATCAAAGCTTGTAAGCCATTCCATTCACCTCTTATGTTGCTAACTCCATCATACCCTTGTCCACGAATATTATGAATAGCCAAATTATGTCGAATAAGAACAGAAAAAATCTCTCTTTTAAAGTTGCAGCCATAGTATCTCGTACATGAACAAGAATCTTTCGTATATGAATCCATTTTTATCTACAAATCTTAAAACAAGAGTCATTTGTTCTCTTTTGGACTCATCACAAGATTCATCAACAATGATGCAAAATTTTGTATCACCTATCTCTTGATGAATCTCCTCTTTTACTTTATTTGAAAAGATAGAAAGAATCACTTTTTGAATATCTAGTGATGTATATAAGGCATTCATTGGCACTTTATTTTGAACAACAGTCGCAACCTTTTCAATTTAAAAAATAAAATAATAACGTATTAAAAGATGTGAATTCTATCTATTCAAAAAGAAAATCTAATTTGAAATTGAAAAGTATAATAAGAATTCATACCTTTTATTGTAAGAAGCTAGAAACTTTATAAGTTCAAGAAAAATTCACGATTATTCTAAACTTTCATAGCGTCCTTGAAATGCACAAGCTTGAAATGTAAGCCATCGAACAACATCAATAGAAACTTGAAGCCTTAGTCGATTAATAGCAATATGATCAGAGGTTTGCTTTTCAATAAAATTTTCAATATGTTGATGCACATTCATCAAATCATTGCATGCTCTAATAACATTCTTATGAAAAGAGTCAATATGTTTTCCCACATGTCGAAGAAAAGCACAGTTCACTCCTTTAATCTTTTTTCAGTTTTTGAAACCTCCAACAACAAACTTATTTGAATAAGATCGTTCACGTGGCTCACTAAATAGATAATAAGGTAAGCAAAAAGCAGCATCGCTAGATGGAGAATACTCAAGCCAAAATGGAAACAAATCAAACCAAGTAGCATAAAAATGATGAAGATTTGTTGTTGAACCTGATGTTGGATGCTTTTCAAGTCTATATTGATAAGGACCAGCTTTGAGATATGCTCTACGAATTTCATCTTGTTGATTTATTGAATATTTCCAGATTGGTGGACGCTTCCAAGATCACACTCTAAGAAAGAAATATTAGTTTGTTCAAGTTCCATCCTTTGAACCTTATGAGGACGATCAAAAATTGATACTTCATGTTCAAGTTCCACTATTTGAACCTTATGAGAAGGATCAAGAATTGATACTTCAGGTTCAAGTTCCACTCTTTCTTAAGTAGATGAATCTCCTTGATTCTCAAATTGTTCAATATTTTTCTTTTCAAAAACGAATCAATAGTTTTTAATTTTTCCATGACTTCAAATAATCGAACACCTAAAAATAGTATAATTATGTAAGCAAATATATATATTACATATATGATCAAAAATTTTTAATAGAAATAGTATAAATGACAACAAAATATTAGCTTCCTAAATTTTCCATATTAGAAATTACAATAAAATAATTATTAATAATTTTAAATATTATATTGTAATTTTAAAATTTGATCAATTTAATCGCATATTATTTTTTCAAGTTGTTGTGTTTTAATCAAATATTTAATATTTATGTAAATTTTTGTGTATTAATAGAATGAAATCAAACTTAAACTAAAATTTAAAAAGAAAAACTAAAAAAAAAATAATAAACCTAAAATTAATGATAAAGAGAAAAATACCTTGTGTTTTTAGTTCTTCTTGTAGCAAATGTGTAGCTTTTGTGTTTTTCTCCAACGCTACTTATATATATATATATATGTATGTGTGCGTGTCTGCGCGTGCGGTTTTTTCGGTTGTAAAATGCATTTTCAAAAAATAAGAAAATTATAATATGAAGCCACATCACAAACTCAGGTCATTGGACATGAAGTAAAGGTATTAGTGCCACTAGGATAGCGAGAATAACATGTTCATATAATGTATTAATTACTTTAAAAAAGTAAGGGGAACTGTCTCCCGGACTTGAAGTAATGATACCTCTAGGTTATATTAAAAAGGAATAAAACTTAATTTGCCCCCTGAACATAGGAGAAATATTCAGTTTACCCAAAATATTGATTTGTGTGGAGAAACTGAATATATCTTCCATCTTCAGAGTACAAATTAAGTTTTATTCTTATTAACAAAAGAAGAAAGCGATTAAAAGCTAACATTTGGAAATATCAAATATCATTCATGTAAAAAAAAGATAACAAATAAGAAATAAAATGCACTTGACAAAACCTAGAAACTCCACCGAGCCATAAGCTTTAGTCAAAACAACAAAAAGAAATTCAGGTTAAAAAACTAGTGCTAAACAAAAGTTTGTCATCAACAAAAATAATGCTTCATAATCTCAAGGTATTAATTCTTTGGTTTCCTTGTTAATGTCTTCATATTGAAAGAAAATTGTTAGACTGTAAGACATCACATCAGATTAGCATGTGGTTTAAACATGAATTATTTAAGATTATTAATAATTATTTACATAAACAAATTTAATCTTTTTCACAATCCTTACATATATACTATATCTAACTTAATCTTCTTCATAGAATATTATACTAAACAAGGGTAAAAAAGCCAACTCAATCAGTGTCACGACCCAATTCCATGGGCCGGACCGGCACTAGGGCCCAGATAGGCTTAAGGCTCCCGAGACCCGTAGTAAGCCTGGAACACTAGAATCCAATATCTCGGTATAAATTTCAACATTTAGCCCATATGATTATGAAAAATAAACCTCACATTTTAGCCATATGCTTATGTTTAAAAGAATAACCTCCAAGAAATTTTATTAAATCTCGCCCAAATTTATACGGCTACAACACATTCCAGCATTCGGGCCTAATAACCAACTGCATCACATTGTTTAACATGGTTCACCTAGTTTTAATTCTCGTCTTAATTAATTAAATGATTAAAGTATACAATTACCTACAACTGCGGTCACTCTTGTTAGTACTATACATAAGCAAATAATTATGAATTAGGAAAAATTCCTTATTTCCTTGGCGAAGAACATAGCCTAAACATCGGAATTAAAGGAAAAACCTACTTCCTGAAAAATCAAAAAAGACATGTGAGTTTCTAAAGAGTAATAGATTATTGCACAGAACACAGCAGTATTAAAATGTGTACAACATTATTATCTATCATTCGACATAGTTATATGCTCACTGCAGCCACCTCACACAA